GTAATAGAATTGATGCGTTGAGAGTATTGTCCCACGAAGAATAAATCTAATTCAAGTTTACTAACTTTTTATGGGATTCGAATTGTGTAAACAAAGGAGATTTTAATTTTATTTTATCTTTAATTAATCTAAGAAAACAGTAAAAATGTGATTTTTATCAATTTATGGATGATTGTATTGGATCTCGAATCCACCTATTGCTATCTATTTCAATTCTTGATTTGCAATATAGTTCCGTTCATGCGTTCTTAACAATCGATAATTCTATTGTAATTAATTCGTTTTTCCAAGACAAATTAAATATATCCTAACCACGACCTAAATCTATTCCTAGCCCGAAGTCAAATGATTAGAAAGAATTAAAGTTTAAATTATCTATATGATTGCACATGTGATAAATGTTATTCCTAATATTTATTGTACATGTGTTAATTTTGTCGCGTTCTAAACTTATTGTGAGTTTCACAATACTACAATAAGCAACTAATTATCTAATTAATTGCCAATCAATCAAATAATGCAATGTGTATACAAAATTAATAAAGAAACACAAGAAATAAACTAAACCACAAATCTTGAATTAAAATAAATAAACAAATAGGGTTCATCTTCATCCAATACAAAAATAAATCTAGCCTAGCATGTTAATATATAAATTACAAGAAAAATAATAGAAAAATATCACCCCGATCATGAAATAAATCAAAAGATATTGATCTTTCAATTCCAATGTTGAATTCTTCAAAATTTTGATGTAATTGACCTTCAATTCCTTGTTATGGCTTGATCTCCTCTCTCAAAATATATCAATTGACCTCTTGTTCTTGATGAATTTGATGAAACTATTGTGTATGAAGAGGCAATAGAGGTTTTCTTATGTGTAGCCATCGTTCTCTATTTATAAGAGCAAAAATATATGTCAAAATCGTGTCCAATTTAGTTTCTAAAAGAATTTGAATCGCGAAAGAAAACTAAAAATTCATCTGCAAAAAAGGCCTGTGCACGCGCGCCTTAAAACCAAATGGCTCTCGGGTTGGGGAAAATAGGGTGTTGCACGCGCGCATGTTTCTATCTGAGTATATTTCGTTATTTTGGTCATAACGTATCTAACGTATCCGACTAGACTGGTTCAAATCGCGTTGGACAGGTAATTCAAAAGGCTACAATTCATTTGAAAATACAATTTTTCCAATTCGAACGTTTTCTATCCGAAAAATGGGTCTTAAGTTGAGGTTAAAAATCCATAGCATTTCTTCTTCGACTGTAAATTGATTTGTGAAAATACCTCAACTATATTTCACTCATTTGATCTCAAATTGCATCCAATTGATCCTATATGATCTTTAATCATCGTTTTGCAGTCCGAATCATTTATTGGATATTTACACTTTGGTCCCCAAACTTTAGATTTCCTTCATTTTCGCACGTTTTTCCTTCATTTTTTTTTCAAATCCACCAATTTGCATTAAATTCAATCTAACCAACATAATTAACACAAAATTAAGCTATAACTCATCCAAATCACTAACAAATACTCTAATTTAATGGTTTAGATAAGTGTACAAAATACACTTATCAATGAATAATGAATAAACTTGGGAATTTTTTGTTTGATTATGAGTTGTATCTTCGTTGGTTGTTAGTGAAACATTTAAGCTTAAATTAAGGTTCAATAAGCAGTAATTAAAGAGTGTGATTAAGATTCCTAAATAACAAAAAGCGTTGGTTTGTTAGTGATAACACTATTATCATCTGTGTGGCCACTAAGGGTGCGTTTGATTGCAATGGTGGAAAATGGGTGGAAAGAAAATGTTTTACAGGGAAAATGTTTGCCTAGAAAATGTTTTGCAGGGAAAACGATTTCAAGTGTGTTTGATTGGTATAATTTTCCACGTAGAAAATTTTTAAATTTTCTATTCGTTTGGCTTTGTTTTACATGAAAATTGTCCATTAAAGTGATATTTTTTTCCACAATTAGTTATAAAATTTGTTTCAATTGCCAAAAAGTAAAAANTTTTTCTCACCAAAAAGGCGGGAAAAGATTTTCATCAAAAAGTCGGAAAATGCACACGTGTGGGCTAAACCCGAAAAATATTTTCCGTGGAAAATTTCGCCTATCAAACAGCCAAAAAAGTGGAAAGTGGAAAATATTTTCCTAATTGTCTGGAAAATAACGCGTATCAAACATGCCCTAATAGTAAAATAATTTGTCTTTTTAAAAGGACTAATCATGGTCACACACTTCATAAAGCAAAAAACTTTTGATTCCAAAATATTATTTCACCATAGATTTATGGTCAATCACACCAAAACAATTGGCATACATTGATATCTAAGCAACCCTCCATGTGTACTTGCCTTCATTTTAGTTGCCGTATTCGATAGGTTAGACGGTATAAAATTGAACATTGATAATTGACAAATTTTGTTATACGTCCATCGTCATAATTCGTTTAGTTCAATTTAATGTTTCAAAAATACATGTATTGTGTTTCCTTAATAAAATGATATGTGGAAGAGTTATTGTTGCTCATGAGACTTGTACTTGAATTTGAACTTTCTTTTGTGATCTTTTGAAATTTATGGCTCCTATTGCTAGTGAATTTAAGGTCGGAGTAACATTCATATGCAAGTCGAAGAGTCGTTTGAGAACATTATTCTTGAAATTCGAGGTTAAGTTATATATAAACGAATTGTTTATTTTAGTTTTTTGAACACTGGTGACATCCATCTTATATATGTTAGTTTTACAAAGAGGATTAACCAAAATTTTTATGTGCTGATTACTATATTTATACCCTTTATTAATAGAATTTTACCTCAACAAGAAAGTTCAAAAAATTTAAATAGTAGAAAAATGCTACATCATCTAATATAACAATTGAATATTTCATTAAAGAGAGTATTAATCGGTCTAAATCCAAAAGTATTTACGAAGGCATTTGATTTACTATTTTCAAATTGTTTCCATTTTTTATGTTTACATAACATCGAAATACTTGTTTGGTTTGATGTTTTTGAAATTACGATTCTAAGTTTAAGGTTAAACTTGTAATGTAAAACTCAAAAATGTATTTTTGACATTTTAAGTATTTTTGGTGAAAACATTGAAAACGCTCAAAACGTGGGAGATATGGATTTAAAATAACAAATTCTTAAAAAAAAAAATTCTAAATTTCTAAAAAAATAAATAGTGAAAAATAAATTCTAAAAAATAAAAAATTTAAAAATATATTCTAAAAAATAGAAAATAAAATTATAGAAAATTTCTAGAAAAATAAAAAATTAAAAAAAGTTGAAACTCTTATTGATTATTTAAATAAAAATTCTAAAAAATATATATTCAGATAAATACATATAAAAGTTCTAAGTTCACGTCATTAATTTTTATTTTATTTTTTATGTTTTGCTAACTTAATTTATTATTTATTTATTTTTTACTTTTTACTTTGTAGCGAAAAAAATATTGTAAAATTCACCAACTTTAAAATGTATATGTTGTTTGATAATATTATAATATAGGATCGTTCTATTTTACTGAATAATTAAATTTAATGAATAAAATATTATAAAATACTTTCTCAAATATCGAAAAAAAAAACATATATTTCAGTTTTCTATTTTGTGAAATAGTTTTTCAAAATAACAACCTAAATGGATTTTCAACTGTTTTAAAATGAACCCTCGAAATAGAGACTCAAAATTCAAACATGAAACGCAAACCAAATAGTCGCTTACTTTTTTCCACTTATTCATATAATTGTTGCGAGCTCTATATCCTAATTTTGTCCTTTCCATTAATCCTTATATTCATTTGTTCGCTTAAAACATACATTAAAAAGGAAGGAAACTTTCCATTACCAAAACAAAGAAATTGTCTGAGAATGATCTATTTAACAAGACAAAATAGCAAACACATGTATGGTTTATTATTCCCGACAAAAATGAGATAAACCAAACGACTCATTTTTTAGATTTATTTACCAAGTCATCCGGCCAACGAAAGAGAAACATAATTCTTGCCAAAAAAAGAAATACTTTACACAAGAACATATTGTGTGTCACTTCAACTAATGGTGGTGGGTCTAGAATTCATAGATGAAGAATAGAATAAGTTTTTACCCGAAAATGTTGAAGCCTAAACCTTTAATTCTTAGTAAGGAGAGCTTGGGATGAAAAAAAAAAAAAAAAAATAATTTGAAAAAAAAAAAAAGCTAGTTAAAATGAAAGATAGAAAGAATAATAATTTTTTTTTTGAAATAGTAAAATTAAGTGTTAAATATAAATAGTTTGTTGAATTACTTTAAAATTTTAACTCTCTAAATTTATATATATTGTCCAAATGATAGAATATATTATTTGAAACTAGAGTTTCTTTAAGATGCTCTAAGCATATATATGCTCATGTACGGTGGAAATTAAAATTAATTTTTAATAGATTTTAGTAAAAGTTTATAAAATGTGTGGTTGAAAAATTGTGGGACCCACAAAATATGTTATTAAAATGAATTTTTTACTTTGACTTAAATTAAAATTTAGATTTTTAATAGATTTTGATAAAAGTTGATAAAATGTGTGGTTGAAAAATTGTGGGACCCACAAAATATGTTATTAAAATGAATTTTTTTCTTTGACTTAAATTAAAATTTAGATTTTTAATAGATTTTGATAAAAGTTGATAAAATGTGTGGTGAAAAATTGTGAGACCCACAAAATATGTTATTAAAATGAATTTTTTTACTTCGAATATTCAAATGTTGAGTAAATGAATAATTATTTCTACGTTCTAGAACAAANGCACATTTATGTATCTACATAAATAGAGAGAGAGTCTAAATTACAGAATGCATGAGAAAGGAATTGATTAAGTGGGGTTTTGTTTGGATTATTGATTGAGGAGATTTTTCTTTCTTCTTCAAGACTCAAGCTTTTTTCCATTTAGAACCCTCAAAAACATTTCCTCTTAGTCTTTCTTTCTTTCTTTCCTCTTTGAGCATTAAATGGCGCATGCTGATGGCGTCACAGCAGGAGGAGTCTCTCATGATACAGGTGAGAATTCATATTTTGTGGTTTTTGTGAACTCCAGTTCAATTTTCTGTTCAAACACTAGAAAAATTCAGATGAGAAACAGAGAATAATGCAAAATTTAGAAGTTCTCAATAATTTGTTTTAACTTTTTACTTGTTTGGTGTATTATTATATCCCTCTCAAGTACCTGTCAATGCTTTTCTAGGCAAAATAAGCACTCTTAGACTCATATTACTATTATATATTCCTTTGGTTGATTTGTATTTGGTAGGTGTACAAAGTGATGATCTGTATAGGGAACTATGGAGGGCATGTGCAGGACCTTTAATGGACGCTCCTCGTAACGGAGAAAGAGTTTATTACTTTCCACAGGGTCACTTGGAGCAAGTAGGCGATTCTTGTCTCTCTTAAGAGAATTATTTCTGTTTTTTGATTTGTATTTTGATCATTGCATATTCGATTGGCAGTTAGAGGCGTCGACTAACCAGGAGTTGAATCAACAAATCCCTCGGCTCAATCTTCCTTCGAAAATCCTTTGTCGTGTTTGTCATGTTAATTTACTTGTATGTGAAACTCTTCCGCTTTCTGCTTTTCTCCTCTCTTTGATTCCTTGAGGACAAAATTTGTTTTATTCTTGTATGTTTTTGTTTCAACTGATAGGCTGAACGAGACACAGATGAAGTTTATGCGCAGATCACTTTACTCCCCGAACCAGATGTAAGCAGTTTGCCTCATTAGTGTCGCTTATATGTTACATTAGTCCTTGAGTAGATGAAGTGTAAAATTTAATGGTAGTTGATAAGAAATGATTTTACAATTCTTGCTATTCTTGTTCTTCACTCCTTTTTGATGTTGGGAAGAACATTATTGTATTATCATTTGTGAATAATTCTTGTAGCGTACTGAGCCCATCAGTCCCGACTCATGCCTTCCCGAGCCTCCAAGGCCAATAGTTCACTCTTTCTGTAAGACATTGACACCTTCAGATACTAGCACTCATGGAGGTTTTTCCGTTCTTCGGAAGCATGCCACCGAATGCCTTCCTCAATTGGTAGGCAATTACTCTTTACTCCCTTTTGTTATTGTAAACGTTGTGTATATTATTAATAATAATGCCACGATCTTGCTCGATTTATCAAATACCTTGTCCACATAATTTACTCCATGGAAGAAGATATGGAGGTTGTCTCACCTCGGTCGAGGCAATAGGCCAAAATAGGAAATTATTGGACTTCCAATTACACATTTTTGCAGTGAACATCTGAACAATCACAGATTGAAATCTCAGGGTTATTTTTATTTTGCTTCATTTCTTCAATTCTTGCAAGTTTCCTTAGTTTTCACGGTCAACTTTTTATATTCTATTTAAAGGTTGTTTTATCTAGCGCTTGAAATGTTCTGATATATGAGATCCTATTTGTGACCCTGTAGGATATGAGTCAAACAACCCCAACACAGGATTTGGTTGTTAAAGATCTTCATGGATATGAGTGGCGATTTAAACATATATTTCGAGGTAATAGTAAAGTAGATTTTATATATAATATAGTAGAATGTACTGTTTCTATTATCTATCTAGGTTGTGAACATAAGCTTGAGTTTGCAAACCTATCCATTGCAAAGATAATCACTTTAGAACTGCTGCATGTTTTGTTCATAAGACTCGATAGTATGATGGACTATATTTTAACTTATTTATCTTCCTTAATATTGTTTAGTACTATCGAGTCCTCTCTACCTAACATGCGATTATATAATCCCTATTACACCCTTATATGGACGCCAATTGCATGTGATCAGGTCAACCTCGGAGACACTTACTAACAACTGGATGGAGTACGTTTGTCACCTCCAAGAGATTAGTTGCAGGCGATGCTTTTGTTTTCCTGAGGTGGTTTTTGGTTCTTCCCTTCGACCTTCACCATTTATTTCAACTATCTATGCACTGTGGCCTTAATAATGTGATTTACCACTACTGTATTGCAGGGGTGAAAATGGGGAATTGCGTGTTGGAGTTCGACATCTTGCTCAACAACAGTGCTATATGCCACCTTCTATCATTTCCAGCCAATGCATGCATCTAGGAGTGCTTGCCACTGCCTCACATGCTATTACGACACAAACGCTGTTTGTTGTGTACTGCAAACCAAGGTATGGCACTTTCTCTCTTTCTTCATAAATCTGACATAAAAATTCTCCACCATTTTAAAACTCTAGCTTTTTTATTCTACTATATGAGCGATCAGGACGAGCCAATTCATTATTCGATTGAACAAATATTTAGAGGCCATACATCATGAATTTTCTGTGGGCATGCGTGTGAAGATGAAATTCAAAGAAGATTATCCAGACAGAAGGTTCCTCATTTGTATTCAGTTCCGTGCTGTTTTTGGTATTTTGGAGCTTATAAAGTCTCAAGTTGATTCAATTCATGTCAATCTTTCCAGGTTCATAGGCACTATAGTTGGTGTTGGAGATATCTCTCCGCAGTGGAAAGACTCTGAATGGCACTCATTGAAGGTTAAAAACTGTCTTTAAGTTCTGTCTCATATATTGATATGTTCTTGCTTATCCTCTCGTAATATTTTTCTTTTCCAAATTATTTCTCCTTTAGATTCAATGGGACGAACCAGCAACCGTGCTGCGGCCAGATAGGGTCTCTCCATGGGAGATAGAGCCTTTTGTAGCTTCTACTTCTGTAGACATTGCACAACCAGCAACAAAAATCAAAAGACTCCGTCCTCTCGATCTGCGACATGCTGGTATATTACGTTATTGCCTTTACACCTTTTAAGTGAACCAACTATAATGATTTTGAGTAATGACTTTGTCCTGGATTAATCCTTAAGCCCTAATCCCAATCCCGAGAGCAATAACAAAGAAAACAAGAAATATAAACAAACTCAGAGAAACGCAGTTTAGTTCACCCTCAGTCTAAGAGCTAAGTCTACTCGCCGGTGCAGATTTTTTTATTGTAGCGATACCACAGCGACTTAATACTGACATGTGAATGGTCAATATACCCCCATAATAATGAAGAGTATAATTATGATCTACACATCTAACAAACTTGTGGTGGCAATTGTAACATAGAAACTGCAGTCACTTCTGTTACGTCTATTCTCTGATATGCAGGATCATCTGTGTCCGTTGAATTAAGCCACTTAGGTAATACCACTGAAGTCCAAACCAATGAAAACCAAGCTTTTCAACCTCCAAAGGTGAATTGCAATGCTCCCAACAACAGCGACTTCTGTAGTTCTAGATCCCACACTGGTGGAATACAGCCACCTACTTTGCTCTTGAATGGTTCTCTAAACCTTTTTCGAGAATCTACAGACGATAATAAAAATGTAGCAGTACAACCTGATCTTTCCGATTGTAGCTCTCCTGTCTCATCAAGGGCAAGCGACCATTTCCTTGAACAAGTTGAAAGCAGTAAAAAGTATGAGACTTCTTCTGTCTGCCGGTTATTTGGTGTTGATTTGAGGAACAGTTCATATATTATCCCACCAGCGGAGAAGGAAGTGCCATGTCCAAACATCGATGTCCAGGATCCAAGTTACAGATCAGAAGATGATTGGATGAAAAATTCCTTGTCATCGAAAGGAAAACAATGTGTTCAAGTGGAGGGGCTATGGAAGGATACACAGAGCAAACAAGATTTTGCTTCATCTTCAAGAACCCATATTAAGGTGAGTTCACATTATTAGATGAATTTCAAAATTATAATTTAAGAATTTGTTCTGAAAGGTAAACATTTATTTTATTTTTAGGTGCATATGCAAGGGATTGCCGTTGGACGTGCTGTGGACTTGACCACATTGATGGGTTATGATGACCTTGTTAACGAGCTGGAGAAAATGTTTGAGATTAAAGAACTTCAACCTCGAGACAAATGGGAAATAGTTTACACCGATAATGAGGGGGACATGATGCTCGTAGGCGATTATCCATGGCCGTGTGTAGCTTGAAACTCTTGATTATCGGCATTTTAGTTTCATCAGATAATTTTAGCACTTACTCTTTTACTTTTGACTCATTGCAGGGAATTTTGTAAGATGGTCAGGAGAATTTGCATCTATTCGAAGGAGGAAGTAAAGCAAATGAATCCGACATTAAAATTTCCATTTTCGTCTGTAGAAGTTGAAGGCACAATAGCAAGTTTAGATTCAGAGACAAAATCTGAAGCATAGAATTTGTTCTTCTTTTTAGGGGCATTCTTAAATAGGTAGCAGAAGTTAATGAAGTGAACCTTTCTTGGAATTTTGTGAGTACTAAATACTTTGCTTGTCGAGTGTGTGGTTTTCTTTTGATTCATAACTTTGGAATTTGTAAAAAATGTAGACACTCTTTTCTTATTATGGCAAGCTAATGATTTGTCTGAATTTCCTGTTTATATTTATCTTGTCTAATGTGGAGTAAGCAATGTAGCATTGTAGCTTCCTCATTTCTTAGCTCTGCCTAATCTGGCAGTTTATACCTATTTATCTAAGACTGTTTCGGCCGTCTCTATGGTAACACATAATCAACAACAATTAAGAAAGAAAAGAAGTTGTTACGCCTTTTCTAATGAGGCTTCAGATCACAAACACGTAGCAGCTAGCTAGCAATCTCAATTAGGCTCGCACACCACATCACTCTCCTACCTGACCGAGTTGAGGCCATATATAAGGTAGTCGAAGTGATGCATTACCTCCGTCGAGGTGCAATGTAGAGGCCGACCCTCCATGGCCATATATAACTGATCCGAGGCAATTAACATCTTTTTTGGTAGAAACCATTTTCCCCTTCACATTTTTCAAGAGATCTTTTGTACAAGATATTACTATGATTGATTGATGTGATATTTATTTAGTGACACCTCAAATGTCAACTTGTCAATCTATTTTTCACAGGTCAGACCTAAATTCTAAAGTGGCTACTTTTCAAAAATATTAAATGTCAATCAACATATGATTGATGGAGTTATCTCTATGAGAAGGCACTTCGACCATCAGGATGACGCCACATGTATTTTTATCCAGCCGTGACAATTTCTCCATTTCTACTATAGAATCTTACACTTAGTGCCATTTGAAGAAAATGTAATTTTATACACTCAAAGTAAGGTTGCTATCTCATTTTTTATTCTCTTAAACTCTCATTACCCGAACACTAACATGGCTTATGTCTTCTAATCATCCCTATCCAAATACACCTATACAATTGTCGACAGAGTGCAAGCAACCACCTTCACCTTCGGAGAAGGCCACATATTCTTAAGGATTTGTTCACGGGTAGGAGTTTATCTACGTAGACGTAAATGGAGCCGTGATTTGTTGGCCACATCATTTGTACAAAAGTCGAGTCAACAAATTAGCGCCATTCGTGGGAATTCATACTATCAACCATGAGAAGATGATGCAGGAGGGTC